CCCCAAAACCCCAAAACCCCAAAACCCCAAAACCCCAAAACCCCTAGTTAGGAGGGATTCATTGAATCTGAATAATAATTTGGGAGGAGAAATGGAGTCACTTGTAGGAAAGTACTATTAGAATAAAAGAGTTACTTCTGCTCAAGGAAGAAGCTGGGTAAAAATGGCTTAGAGGTAACGAAAGCCTCAAAAATTGGAGTATCTCTCTCGTTACCAGATAAAAAGCAATCATTTTCAACCTCGCCTTGAGCATATAAGTCATTAACTCCGCTCATAAGTCTTGAGCGGTGGTGAGGCTTCTTGGATTTGGCAGTCTGAAGATTGTCTTGACCAAGAGTCATACCGTAATCTCCAATTATGTCTTCTTCGTGGTAGGAATGATTTGACTCACATTCCATCTGTTTATGAAGTTGTTCCAAGGAAGGATGAAGATCATGAACTTCTTGGTTGAGTTGGTCAGGTATATTATAATCTTGGATCTCATCTTCCAATTCTTCGTTTAAATTCTTGCATCTCAAGAAAAGCTCATTCTCAAAGGGTAATGTCTCTGGAGTCACCTTCAGCATCGAATTTTCATCATTTTCCTGAACTTTAACGAGATTGATCGATTCTACTTCAGGTAGACAGTTGGGTGAAAATGATGACTCCTTCTGTTTCGAGGATTGCCTAGAGCTTCTTTTAGTACTAGCAGAGTCGATGTCTTCAGGTTTCGCAACATTATCAAGCCTCAGGCTTCCTTGGAGGCGGTTGAACCTCTTAACTTTTTCAATTTTAAATGTAACTTGTTCTGAGTATTCATTTCAGATACGCTCTGGTATCTTTGATTTTTCGATAGGTCTCGAAGCAAACCTTTTTCTCTTTTCTCTGAAGCGTTCAATTTTGAAAACGTCTCCATAAACCTTCCTAATAGGGGTGTCACTACTGACAGAGCTGGTGTTTTGAGAGCAGTTGTCACGCACCTGCACTGATGGTTTGTATTTTTGAATCCAAAATACCTTTGGTATCTTATTTCTCAAAAGAATAAGATTTTCTTTCTTCACTTTAGAGACCTTGAAGATTTTCTCGGGTCTTTTAGAAGAGTCTACACTCTCATCGACAGAATCATTAGCTTGACTGAAAATAATGGGGAAGTTTTTGCTATCAGATCTCCTTGAGGAGTGATAAGACTCTTTGCCTGAGGAGCTCTGAGCATAATGAGTTTTCAGATGAGCAGTAAGATTGGAGCTTTGAGTAAACCTCTTTCCACACCCAGAAAAGTCTCATACATAAGGCCGTTCACCAGTATGGGTCCTCAAGTGTGTTCTCAGATTGAAATCTAATGAGAATCTTTTGCCACATACATTGCAGCTGTAGGGTTTCTCGCCAGAGTGAACTAACTGATGCCTTCTAAGTTTGGAATTGTCCAAAAATTTTTTGCCGCAGCCTTTTTCTTTTCAAATGAATTGTTTATCTTCCTCACTTTGAGAAATCTTTTTCAATCAGGATTGGTCCTTGAAGGTTTTGTCATCAAAGGAAAATCAGTGATGCCCTCCTTTATTTTCTGGAAGAATTTCAGATTCGCTTTCAAGTAGTAAATTAGTACCATCTCCTCCCATACAAAAGCCGAGGTCTTCGTCGTCTTGGTCAAATGACTGATTTTCAGAAAATTGATGGATAGATTCAGACTCAGGAAGTGAACTTAGAACTTCATCCTGTGATTCATTTATAATATTCTTGACTTCATCGTCCTTCATCAGATTATTCTCCAGGATGGGGCTGTAATTATCGAAGTTATTTAGTTCAAATTTTGGCAAAGAGGGCTGTGCAAATGAGACAGTTTTGTGGATTTTCAAGTCTAAGTCTTCCAGAAATCCATCTTGATATTCCCCGATAATCTGCTTTGCTTCGGATTGATTACTTTTACGGTATCAGTAGGTATCGTCTTGATAAGAGTCAGATTCAGCAGAGCCAGAACTATCGGAATTTGAGTAATCTTCGCTGTTACTGAAGTGCACGTTGTACTGAATATCGTATTCCTTCTGGGGACCATCATTTCCATCTTTGCTTTCCATTATTTATTTTTATTAACCACACGTCAATTTATTGCTTCTTAAATGGGGTTTTGGGGTTTTGGGGTTTTGGGGTTTTGGGGTTTTGGGGTTTTGGGG